TCTTTTAGCTATTAGCAAAGAGATTTCTTTTTTTATTGTTAAAAACTTTTTTTTTTTAAGTAAACCACTTCGCTTATGGACTGAAACTTTTTTCAGTTGTTTTGTCGGTGGTTCAAAATTTACTGCATCATTATTTCGTTTTCTGTCCAGTCGTACCATTACAAGTCTCTTTTCGTACACACTTCTAGAAAGTATCATTTTTTCGCATAATTTCTTATTAATTGGAGACTTTAAAAAGTTTTGACGGTGGTATTTAAAAAGTTATGACGATGGTAGAATAAACGGTACTCGTAAATAAAAATTCTGTTACAAAAGCTATGAGAGAAATCAGTTTTTAATTTCCGTCAAATATGAGAAATATCGTTTAACTCTTTATTTATTTAAACTCTTTTGAGATTAGTAAAATCTAATTCTAGAGAGCAGTGAAACAAATAGTTTGATCTAAGAATAAGAAATTTGGTATGACTTTCAACTAGTAGAAACTTCTATTAATCTTACAGTTACTATAATACCGTGGTGTAACATTATGGTCGTGCGGTTTTCTTGTTTTCGTAAAGGGTGAAAAAAACTTATAAAAAAAACTTATTATTACTGACTAAGATTAATTACTTTGTTAGTAATAAGTTATTTCATACAAATAAGTGTTATATAATAAAACTATATTCTAAACTATAAGGTTTCATTCTATGTAATTATTTTAAAGAAATCTTAACATATGTACTTTGACTAAATGTCAAGTTAATCAAATTGCTTTTAAATGCCATTACTAGGTTTTTAAAAACATCGCTTTTTAAGGCACGTTTTCTTTTCAATTCAAAAAGGGCCTGATAAAATTAATTATATTTTCTTAAAAAAAATCATTTTTTTAAAAAGATTTAAAAATATGTTTTTTTTTTTAATTTAAAAGATTTTTAAAAATTTATTTTTTTAAATCTTTTAAATTTTGAATCACATGAATGAGCACGTGAATCATTAATAATGCCTCACCTTTTGTTTATCATAGTTAAAATAAACTTAAAATTTAAACTATATCTAACGAACGTTTAAACTTTTTTAGTTTTTGAACGTGGAGATTTTTTTATAAAAGAAGACTTAGTATTGTAAATTAAGTTTAAAACATTTTAAACACTGAGTTGAAGAACTAATTGTAGAAAACTAACTGATTAGAGAAAAATAATTCAATATCTTTTTACTTTTTATTTATTTATTTTCTTTTTTAACATATTTATTACTAAAGATTTCCAATTTTTTGTATTTTAGAAGTCTGGTGTTTATTATTATTATTAGTTCATTTCTTTTTACTGCAATTGAAGTATGCTCCGAAAATAGTTAAAATAAAATTCATTTATATTTTCCAAAAGTTTGTGTATTACAGGTAATAAAATATTTACTGAAAGAAGTTGGCAAGCAAAAGTCTCAGATATATGTCGGTTTATTTTGTAAAATTACTACCAAAAAACCAAAACGCTCAAATAACGCCCATGGGATTTCAGTTATAATGGCGCCAACAACGCGTTGAACGTTTATTCACCGTATATATGAATAAAAAATATCTATTTGTATACCTTTAGTGAATTGAAGCAATATTTCATTATCTATTATGTATTTAAATGTATAAGTGCATGTCTAAAAAAGTTTCCGCATTGCCTAACAGCTTTTAAATATAGTTTACTACTTCTTCTTTGACTTTATCTTCTTCTTATTATTATTATTGTTAAAATTTTATCATTATTATTATTCTTTTTTTGATGAAAAAACTATGTAGTTTTTTATTCATATATACGGTGAATAAGAATACTCTTAAACTGGCGTAATATTATAGTAATATAAAAGAATGGAGAAGAGCACGCCCACTTCCTTTTTAAAATCTCTTTGTAAATTTCGGATTTTTTCCGGATATTACAAAAAAATTTTCCGGATTTTTTCCGGATATTTAAGAAAAAAAATTTCCGGATTTTTATAATATGGCCAGGATAATCTATGGTTTTTAGAACAAAAGATGCGGCGATAAATATCGGCATCCATTCCTGATGGTCCAGCAGATCCTTTAGTTGCAAATGCTGCTTTCATAACTAGTTGCTCATCAATACAATCAAAGAAACATTTTGGGATTAAATCAATCGGACCAAACAGTAACCTATAATCTTCTACTTGGGAGGGTTCAGGGTGTTTGCTTTTAAGGTCTTTTAATGTGCTGTCTGATAGTAGTAGTATGCCGAATGATGCCTCTTTTTCTAAAAATTTCAGCACTGCAGTGATTTTGCCTTCCATAATTAATTTGGCAAATATTCTAGATATATCGTCCATAGATCTTTTATTTTTGGAATTTAAATTTTTTTTTGTATATTTCGAACTTCTTTTAACTGTAAACTAGTATCTCCTTTTTTCCAAAGGTCAATCCTACAAGTTAAATATAATGTATGTTCTTTGGACTTTGATTTGGCGGAGGGTTTTTGCAAAAGAAGATTCGGCAAAATCATTGTAACTTTCAGCGCGATTGAATTTAAACTAGAAGTGGAATTAAACTTTCTTAACCAAAAGGTTAGCTCCTCTATAAATTCTTTACATGCCTTTCCAGATGGAATGTTGAAAATATTTCTTCGGTAATTTACGATCTCATCATAGGTAGAATCCACAAACAATTTAAATTGTTGATATGAGTATACTCACATAACATTGTTATTTGGAACTGGTAGATGGTTCATTATTTCAGGCAAGAAGGGAACATTTATAAAATTCTCATTAAATAAATGATTTGTTGTTTGAGAAAGAAACTCAGGTAGTTTTCTGCGAACTATATGTGATGTTATATTTATGGGTGTCATTTTCATAAAAGAAAGTATGCTACGAGTGTCGTTTATCTAGAATATGTAGGTGTTAATGTGTAGTCCTTTTTTTGATTAAACGCTAAATTGTTAGACGAAGTGGATGCTATTGTAATATCGTTTTGTTTTGTAATTGAGGGTATTACTTTAATACTTGGTTCGAGTGTTAAAGAGGTATTAGTTATTTGTAGGCTGAGTATTTTTAAAGGATTCTTTTTGCGTTTTAAAATGTGACGGTTTATTCCGCATATTGTTTAAAGTTCTACTTTACAATAAGGGCACACATGAGGTATAGTAACTTTGCAGCTGCTCATTGTACTTGATAAGAAAAATTTTTTGCTTTTTATTATTAAGAAATATTTGTTTAACTAGATATTTTATTTTTTACTGCGAATAAAGAAGATTAAATATATTCATACTGAATAATATTTTGGGTGAACAGCTAACTATTTTTTACGGTTGGTTGCACACTAGTTTACAGTTTTATATATACATACATTTACATTACATTATAGTTAACAGTTATATATACAAACTCAAAAGTTGAAAAAATAAAAATCTAGTAAAACCCTTCGTCTGTGAAACACTGAAATAAGATTTGATATAAGAACGAATTTCTTAAAGTTTAATAATATTAGAACGATTTTTGTTATGATAAAATTTAATGTTTTAGGGTAAAAAACTCTGATTGAAAAGCTCAGATTTTAAATTTAACTGCAGAAAATTCGTGCAGTTGTTGCACAAATTTTCAAAAATTACAAACAGTCTTTTTACGGTAAGTACATGATTCCATAGCGTAAAGTTAGGTCCCGTAAAATGTTCCGCAATTGTCCCGCTTCACGTCCAGGACAGAGTTAACATAATTAATTTTTGCATTTATAATTTAATTTATGAAATAATTAATATTCTTTAAATGTGGGGCACGTTTTCACCTGGTTATCGTCGAAGATTAAATTTAAATTCGTAAAAAAAATATTATTAGAGATAATAATAATTTAAATTTATTAGAAAAAACAACATTGAGTAGAGGTAATACAAGACATTTTAACTTTTTTAGACAAAATATTTTAAATTTTGAATATAAAAAGCTTAAGTTGATGTTTGTTTTACTACTCGTTTAAAAACATTTCTCAGGAATGACATCCCTGAGAAATTTAAAAATTTAAAAACATTCCAAATGTTTTTAAACGAGTAATATAATATAAGCTTTTTATATTCACAATTTAAAATATTTTGTCTAAAAAGGAATTTCCTCTGCAAGCACGCTTTAAATGAAGTATCAATCCACGTTTGTATGGTTGTTACTGTTTAAATTTTTTTAGTTGTTATTTCTCAAGAAGGAAGTTGGGTTACTGTAGAAACATACGTTGAAGTACTTTGATACATAGCTACGAAACAGAGGCTGTATCAAAGTTTTAATGCTTTAGTGGCACTATAGCATGATTCATGCTATAGTGTATCAAAGTTTTCATGCCATGAAAACTTTGATACAGCCTCTGTTTCGTAGCTATGTATCAAAAAAAGTACTTCAACGTATGTTTCTACAGTAACCCAACTTCCTTCTTTCCTTTCCTTTAGCAGCACTATTAGTGCTGCTAAAAACTGGAAATATGGTATGACAATTTTAATTAAGTGTTTTTAAAATGCAATTGCTAAATTTTAATTTTCTTTTATATTTGTACAGTTATTATTTAAAATTTTTATTGTTGTTGTTATCTTTAAAGATTCTTCTACAAAACACCACAAAATAAGATGATTCAATATAGGTACGTAGCATGAAAATTTTAAATTAATTAAACATTAGATTGTTATATATCATTTTAAAGAGCTTCAATACAGTATTTTAAAAGTGAAAAAATTATTAAAATCGAGCAATTTGACGAAAAGTTATAACGTTTTAAGTACCGAATTTTCGATATATAGATTTGTTGAAGAAACTGTGGACAAAATAATATTTTTCTTGACTAAAAACATCATAAACTTGTCAATTCTTATCTAAATGCCTATAACTTGGTATCAAAAGATAGGTATTAGAATAGGCTACAAAATTATATCAGTCGCTAGCTAAAGGGCGTATCGGGGGAGGGGGAAGGGGCTAGTGGGGGAACCGAACCAACAGCTTATCCGGTAATAAATGCAAATTTTTATAAATAAAAGAGTAATTTTTTTTTGAAATTTTTAATTTTCATATGCAAGAAGTAGTTATAATTTGCTTCAGACCATTCCAAATTAAGAGAAGTTTATTATTGTGTTATGGTGGGTGTAAGGGTGTCAGTTTAACACACCCATTAACTAAAAAAAAATTTCAATAAATATTTTTATCTTTATTAAAAAAAAATAAGCCTTATAATAAATACAAAATTTTTTTAAAAAAAATTACAAAAATTTCTCGTCTTCACACTAGTAGGGCACATTTAGAATCAAGGGAAGGGGTGTGTGCCACAACGCCCTCCAACCTAAAATAAGAATTAAATTTTTGTAATGCGATTAAAAAAATTTTAATGCTATTGTATAAGATAATAAAAATTATTATAAAAACATATTTTACCACATTACAAGATGCATCATTTTACCACATTATAAGATGTTGCCATTCTTTCTTTATATCAGCGTTCGAATACCATTACTATTTTGCACTTGTGGTATATTTTTGCTAGCCACACCATATGCGGTACTTTAATTGCAAGTCACTACTTGTTGTATCTGTTTTGCATCAACAAAATTACCTAGTATTGAAAATAAAAATTATATTTTACTACTTTATAAGATACACTAGTGGCCTACATGTCAAATCAATGAATGGGTTCCGCCCCCCCCCCCCCCTCTTTCCCTTGTAATCCAAAAAAACTATAAAAAGTTTCAAAACAAAAGGAAAAAACTGCAATTATAAAAAATAAAAAAAAAATGCTATTTAAAACAACAAAAACAATTTAAAAAAATATCTCACCACATTAGATGAAAAAAAGTATCTGTTTTTTCAATACCTTTTTGCAAGTCACACCACATGCAATACTTCTTTTTCTATTAGACAGTAACATTAAAGCACAATAATATTGAGTAACATTAAAGCATATTAAATTAAGAAAATATCAACTCTCCTGATACAATATCAGCAGCAAGTTGGAATTTTTACATGTAATGGTCAACAGTTTCATCTTTTTTCCAGAAGGAAATAGTATAAATTCTGTCTTCTTTTCTTTTATTGACTTTTTCTACTTTCCCATCATAAATGACAGACTTGCTATTATTTGTATCAAACCATTCATGGCAGAGTTCTCTTCCAACAATTCTTTCATACATTAAATCATATAAGTCATCAAGTTGCTTAGTAGACAAGTGCTCATATAAATTCTTTATTTCATTAAAAGATAGCGAACTCAGCTCTTGCTCCATTTTCCTTTTTTCTTTTTCACCCATCTTTTGCCTTTTGTATGTCTGTCTTTTTGAAATCTCTGCTCATAATGCAGTATAATTCAGTCAATTTGCTATTCTTTTTATACGAGCTGCTTTAATAGACCACTTAACTACATTTTCTCTCTCTATTTGGTCAAGACTTTCAAGATAATCTAGTCATATTCTTTTTAAATCGCAATTTGCAAGATATATAACAAATAGCTGCATTAGGGATCTCCCTTTAGCTTCACTAAACATACCCATCAACTCTTTACTATCTTAATTTATCACTATCAAATTAAAATTAGTCATCCATGGCCCACTGAGAAGTTTTCCAAATAAACCACGAATACACAGTTTTATAGCAGTTGTGTTACAAAATACAGTAGTGTTGAAAATTGGAATAAATTGAAGCCATATTATCCACTGCATTACCTATATGTTTTTCATAATCATCAGACAATTATAATCAAATTTTCATCATAATCAGACAATCCAGGCAATTGGTCCAAAGCAATGACCTGACATTTATTTTTTGACCTTAAGTGGACACTATTAATATGAACACCTTCCTGCATGGTGGCGTCAAACCCAAGAGTAAGATTTGTATTGCAGATGGGCCACTCTGCAGCTTGCATGTCAGATATGCAACCAACCTCACGAGCCATTTGCTCAACAGTAATACGCTTGGGAATATGCAACAAACCAACACTAAAATATTGTGCAGTTTTTTCCAATAGAATTAGAATGTTACCTGTTGGAACATTACACAATAAAATGCTATAGATTATCATTCTAGATTGTAGTAAGCTTTATTATCTCCTGACGTAACTGAAGCAATACAATCAACCTCCTCCATTTAGGTCAGATCATTTTTTAATCTAGCAATTTCAATTTTATTTTCTCTACTAACAGTATTATGTTTGAGCATTACTTGTCTTAGCTGTTCTCTAACTTCAATTTTCATTTCCTTTTTTTCATTACAAGATTGTGAATATACCTATTGCAGTAACATGATTTAAATTTTTTGTTTCAAGTTTCTAACTCCAGCTCTCGAAGCTTTTATAATTTCTTTTTTACTTTAAATGCTTAAACTTTAAATGTCTTTAAACTTTTATTTTGTAGGGCATGTTGTTCAATTCAGATTTCAATAATGCTATCTTATAACGTTGTTCTTTAGAAGAGTTAGCTAATTGTGATGTCAAATAAAATAACCAACTCTGTAACTTTTTTTTTGTAAGAGTCATTTTTTCTCGTAAAATATGCAGATTTTGTTTATTTTTGCTATTGCTTGTGGGAGTTAGCTTTGCACTACTTACTGGAGATATAAAACTGATATTTTCTGATGATACAATTGAAGAACAAGATACAGTATCAATTGGACTAGAGGTAAGTGGCAATGACTGTGAGACTGTCAGCACCAGGGCATGGAGCACAAATGGCTTGTTGCAAAAGTCAGCTACATTAGTGTCATTTCTTGAAAAGTTATAAGACCGTTTTTTTACTACACTAAAAAGTTTTTGGATTTGATTTTTGCAAGTGTTAATGCTAAAATGCTCATAAACTTGTGCAACAGTTTTATTAAATAACTCTCCGTTGTTAATAAATATAAATAGTATATGCCCACTTCTACAATCAATGCTCATTTTGGTAGCCAATGTAAAGTTAGCGATTATATATTTTTTTAAATTGCCAATAACCATCATTTTTGTCTTAGGAGGCATGATACCTTTAAAAATTATAAAGTTATTTAATTGCATAACTAATGAGCAATAGGATAACTACCTAAATATAAAAAAATATAAAAATGAGGTAAGTGACGTATATATAATATAAAAAATATATATATAAAATAATAAATAATAATATAAATAATAAAAAATATATATATAAAAAATACAAAAATGAGGTAAGTAAAGTACAATAAAAGTTTTAAATACTGAATACTTTTGGTATATGCACAACAGTTGGGTTTAAAATTTGAACTCTAAACACTTTCTATATAGCGCAGAATTATGTTAACTTCTTTTTTGGTTAGATAAAGATAAAGTTCTACATAATGGCACATAAAGGCACTTAGATTTTGACCTTTTTATTTATATTTTTTAAATTATCATAACACCTTTTAACTTCAAGTTTAACATTTAAAGTAATGTAATCACAAGTTAAAATTGTGATTGTATCACATCAGATATGTCATAAGTTAAAACAGACATCCTAAACTCTTAAGAATGAGTTACTTTATGTAGATCTTCAAATCAACTAACTTAAAATCTTTTTTTAAAAATAAAAAATGACAAATAATTCCTGATATAATACACTGACTAATTTTATAAAGTGCTTTATTATCTAAAAGATAATTTTTTTATAATTAAGTAATTTTTTATAATTAAGATTGATATAATTAATAAGAATAATTTTTTTATATTATAAAAAAAATTGTTTGTAAATATATATTAATTAAACCTTTAGGCTCTACTCTTTCATTAACAACGAATGGATAACTCATTATAATTTAAGTAAATTAAATCTAAATCATATTAAATTGAACAGTTATCTATATTTGTATCAGATTATATTGCTAAATGTTGTTAATGAAATCCCCCTTATCCGCCCGGCGTTAAACTGTTAAAAAAAAAATTAGGTACCAAAAGTGCTAGTTAAAATAAGGAATGTGCTAATCAAAATAAAGCAATAAAATTTGGCAGGTGCATAAAAAGTATGTAAACTTAAAAATGAGAATAGGTAGGAAAATTTACTGAGCATTTTTTCAAGGTTTACTAAATGTCTAAAGTATTACCAAGTTTTGGATGTAAATAAATTACCTTAAAAAGTTTGTCATTGTAATCAAAAGACTCATAGAAATAAAGTTTAATTACTCTAGATTTTAAAAAATAACTATGTTAATATGAAATTCTAAAAAATAAGGCTACAAAACACCATTCTATCATGCATGTCAACACAAAAGTCGAAAAAACGGAGAACAGTTTTTTGGTATAAAACTCGGTACCGTGAAACGCGTATTTCTACGTACCTATTCAATATCATTTAATGGTACTCCCTTTGGTTTTAGGATGTAAAGTGCTTGATTGTATGCACGGGAATGATAGAAAAGCCTCTTCTAAAGAATTTTATAAAATTAATTTATTATTATAATATGTTTTTCTTTATCAATTTGTTTCTAAAATAGCTCCTGTATTTAATGATTATATGTCTAAACCTTTTATTTTTGTTCTTTTGTCTAATTTTCAGTTTTTCAAAAAGCTATTTGCTATATTTAAATTTCTTGGTCACCAAGAAATTTAACTGTAGTTTTCAAATAAAAATTTAGAAAATTTAAAAGTTCCCAAGTTTTAAGGTTTTATTTCATTGTTTGTTTAATTTATATTATTGAAATGAGATTTAAGTCAGTCCTATATTAACTATTCAAGACATACATGCATCAACTTAAAATATAACCAATTAATTTATGCTAATTCTTTTTAAAATAAACTTTGTTTTAGATTGCTGAGGATACTAAATTTAGAAGAGTGCAATTCTCAAACCGTATTAAAGATGCTTTGTCAAGAATAAAGTAGTAAGGGAAAGAGTGTTTCCAGTTTATTTTCCTTCAAAAAGTTCTCATACTGGTCATTTTACTAGAGATGTAAGATTTCTTTTTTCTTTTTTGTGTAGATAAAGTTAAACAATAGATTTTAAAAGAAAAAAAACATTAAAGAGTTATCCAAATTAATTTTCATTTCTTGTTTGCCTGTTTTAAACATCTTAAAGTTAGTTTATTATTTCAAACATGTTATTGAACTTGTTTTGTCATATAACATTTATTAAATTTTAACATTTATATTAATATGTTTCCATTTATTTAAACCAACAATAAGGTTGTAGTAAATCTTAATTGCTATTTTTATTGCTGTTGTTTAGGAACTTTAGATTTAATATTGTTTAAAATATGTATAAACTTTCTTGTGTTCAGTATATATAGTATATCATATTTAGTATCTTGATCCAGATTACTTAAGGCCTTAAATTTAAATGCCTGCTCCTACTGATGGTTTTGTTATATACTCGGTATGTTCTTGTACTATTCCTAATATATGTAATATTGTTCATACAAACTTCAATATTTTCACCAGAAGTGGGTTTTGTCACTCACCAAGGAGGTGGCTAAAATGGTTTTTAAAAAAAAAGGTCCGCATTTTTTCACTTAAAAGTGACTTTCTTTAACTTTTTGTACTTTAGTGTAATAATCAAGTTCATATATGTATAATTACCTATAATAGTCAATTACCTATAATAGTCAATCCCAATGGTGGGCGGGGGCAACTACCCCCATGCCCACTCTAAAACTCGCCACTGATTTTCACAGTCTGCTGAAGCTATTAAGTGTATCAATGAAGAGAACTGATCTATCAATCATTTTTACTAGCAATCAATAAAATATCTCAATGGAAGTAGGAAGAAGGAAGCTTGTACTATTGTAAAATAAAATGATATCTGTTTCTGTAGCATTATATATTTTTTTTTTTTTTTTTTTTTATTTTAATTCACCTCCTCAAGGCCGAGAAGGCCACTACAGATGAGGAGGCTACTTATTTGTGGCTATAACCCTTTCTCAACTCTATAACTCCGAAACACGAACCTTGATGAACAAGGCCGCTGCGCGGAGAAACGAGTTGAGCGCGGTACTACCAGGGACGTGGTGAGGATCGAACTCCGAACCACTCGTTTATGAAGCGAGCGCTCTACCACTACACCACTACCGCATATATATTAAAG